ATATATATATATTTTTATATATTGAAGCGAATATACATATATTATGAACCGATTCACACTTCACTTTTATTGATAAATGCGCGCATTTATTTTTCTATAGCATATGGTAACTTATATATGTGTGCATTTATCAATAAAAGTGATAAACGTTTGATCCAAAATCTACGTAGGAAATAGAAAAATTATTATACGAAGATAATACCCTTGCAGAAAATCTAATACTGGTCAATTTAATATTAAGTATTATTTAGTAAACAACAATAGATAACTAATTACTCTCATTTAATATTAAATTGACTAGTCATTTATACAAACAATATAAGCCAGCATTAAGGTTTTTAAGAGCACCATCGATATCTTAATTGTGAATATTTAATTAGTGATAAAGTTAAATCTATAAAAAATAATCCAATAAAATAGAGATGTATGAAAAATCTTTTCTGACGCTAATTTGATACACGGAGATATTTCACGGCTAAATACAGCAGCTCTAAACGGACGTATTTGCTAACACAATGCGGATTGCGTCAGTTCAATATTTCGATAACTATGACAGAAATGGCTTCGAAGGTGCAGTTGCTGTACATGAAGCGCGACGAGACAGTCCTTCCCGAAGGAAATCTCGCAGTTAGTATTACAACAAGAAACTGAAATCATTATTTGTTAATGTTGATAAAACAATTACATTTGTAGTAGCAATTGTGGTAAAAATATTTGAAGCCTAACTCTATAAAAATATGCCAAAATGTACAATAATAATTTGAGAAGGCTCTTTTTAACATTAAAGCTTGTTTAAAAAAATAACTTATACACGTAGTTACATAAACATTTATTGTAAGTTGAGCAGAGAATATATTGTAATTTTTCGCGAAACAATTGAAATTTTCGCGTTCTATTTGCAAAGGAATATAATTCACATGTAATAAAATTAAATTAATAATTAATTATATTATTAATATACAATTAATAATTAATAATAATTAATTAATACTTAATAATAATAATTATTATTATTTTTGACATTAAAGTGTTGTATTTCAAATAGCGATAACCTCGGTGATTGAATCGATTGACTTTGACTTTTGCGCTGCATTCTTTTCGATCGCCAATATCGAGTCACGATCTCCGTCCATGGATTTATGCAAATGATATGTGATCAATTATCAATATACGAAGGGAGGTCGCGTTACGGTTGTACATATAACGTGAGTCGGCACATGCATTACCATAATCTTGAAGGTAGCTCTATTACGGCGCTTATTGCGAATAATCGCGTTAACTGCGCCGCTGCGTTGCTACTAGCGCTGTTATAGCGCCGCGGTTCTCTGTTATCACTTCCCGACATTTCGCAGCCGCGCATAGTCGCCGTTAATCTTGCCGAGCGAGCTCTCGGGAAATTGCAAAATTGCCGTGCGTTCGATCGTTTCGATAAACGTGCGGTTATGATGATCTTAATGAACGTGAATGCCATACGAGTCCATCTCGATAATAAAATTAGCAAAATAGTGAAATAAGAGGAAACGTAAAAGAGTAAATCGTAAAAAATAAAAAATATCGTAAAATAAAAATAAATAAGATAAACAAGAAGTACATAAACCGAAATACACACGCGTAAATAAATCTAATACAGCTTCTATCTAGCTTTTAATTCTATTGTTATAATTTTGTTAATTAATAAGAAAATAAAAGTTTTTAACTCTTAATTATTCTATAGAAGTTATTTTTATATCCTTTTTTGCCTGTTTTATGTTACATGTAGATATTATTATATCATATTACGTATTATTATAACTTGTGTGTATTTATATACGTGTGAATACAAATAAATACGCAAATACAAATTTAAACAATACCGTTATTTGTATATCGTTTCTTGTTATCGAACAATGTGAAATTTGTTGTTGCAGATAAATAAACCAAGCTTTTGTAAAACAATATATTTCATGGAAAAATAATCAATACTAAATATTCATTTTATATCTTGGTTTTATAATGAATGCACACTTTGAAATACGATATACTCTAATATTTATACAAATATTTTATTTTTAAAATTCCATAGATTTTGTCGGACAGCGTAATATCTTTTTAATCAAAACCAGCATATTGCAATGAACAATAGAAACAAAATATATCCGGTTGGAAACTTTTAATTCATAATTAATACGCTTCACAAATAATATGAAGCGTTGCAATATTCATGTGAATATCTCGTACTAGGTATCTCTCTTTTTGATAATGTTAATTTTTGACAAGTTGAATGAATGATGTATTTCAGAAAAACAGCGGGTATACATATATCCCAATTTAATGAAATAAAAAAAGTAGTATAATTTTTATTTTTTAAACAAATTTGATATACGCTAAAAAATTATTTGTTTGACGAAAGTAAAGTTTTTTTTATTACATATAACATATTACGTGTATACTTCAATTTTTATTTTAAAATTCAATACAAATCGCTGCTATTATGTTTTACGGGTTTTTTCATTAAAACGCGGCATCTGCGTCACGTGAAACATTTTCCCGAGGGATCTCTTCAATTAATCAAGCTAGTTCTCTTTGTGCGCAACACACGATACGCTACAATATTCATACTTCACCCGTCATTTTGGAAGTTTTCCCAGCTGGAAACATCGCTTACAGAGGACGAGCCAGTCATGTTGCCAATATCATCGTGGCAGCACAGTGTGGTTTCATTTAATTTTTCGGAAGATAGAGCATATGGATCTACCAGAAAAGGAAGGAAAATTCGTGAAATCTTTATTACGAGATTTTTACTCTAAAAGATTAGCAAGATGCTAATAAATTAAACCACCGATGGAACAGGTGAAACCAACGACCATCTAATTTTATTATTACCAGATTTATCACTTTAATTACACTTTCCGAGAATTTTCCTTATGTTTTCCGCAATCAAAATTGTTAAAATGTAACACTTTAATTAGCTCTGCACACACACACACACACACACACACACACACACACACACACACACACACACACACACACACACACACAAATATAATATATCTTTTGTGTATACGTGATTTTTTCTTTATCTATATTTGTGCGTTTATGACATAATTTTATTATTATTATTATTTTTTTTTTTTAAATAAAATACTATCAGCCTTTAATCGTTTCATAATTACAAATTACAAAATAACATAGTTATTGATAGTTAATTTTATCAATCAAATCTTAACGTTTTTCTTTCCGAAATTTTATTAATTATCTAAGATTTTTTTACAGTTGATAAAAAAATTGAAAATATAAATTTTTATGAATATGACGAAGTAAAAATTCAAGCAATAAATAATTTCTCTCCATGAATAATCAATGAATAGCAAAGATTAAATAGGCACAATTGTATGTAGACAATCCATATGTATCGTCAACAGAATTTTTAATACTTTATAAATCGAACATTATCATATAAAAAGTTATATCATTATTTCAAGATGTAATATTTCAATTTCAAAAAAATATTTTTATGTACTGTATGTAAAGATTCATGCAATATGTTTAGCATAATAAGCTTTGCTTCTCTATCGTTATTTCTATTTATTTAAAAACTCTATAAATAAAACTCTATAAATAATTTTATCTGTCAAAAAATACAAATAGACTAATTACTGTCAGGAATTTATTCAGAGTTTCAATTTTTTAATATAAAATATATAAAATAATTCAATAACGTACAAAATTATTTGATTATCAATATTTTGATAATTATAATATTGTAAAATAACACTTCAATTAAGATTCAATAACTCAAAGTTCATAATTTTTCAGCCAATTTTATTCTTCTAATTTTAATTTTTAAGTGAAAAAATTATATAAGTAAACGTGTGATATATTCTTCTTTACTATATATATAGATAAATATAAAAAAACTAAAGCTAGACAAAATAAATATAAACAGCGCAGCTACATGCAATTTAATCTTCCCTAATAAACGATTAGTAAATATTAGCTCAAGGCACATTGAATTGTATTTCAAAAGTCGTTAGAAATCAATTTTAATAAATTATATTTACTACATTGCTCCAATGTATTGATATTCATACTCCACTTAAATCAATCAATTTATGTTTATATTTCGTTTTTATTGCTAAATGTAATTATGCGATAAATTTCACATTTCACAATTAACGCTCGTATTCAGTCGCAAATAAGCAGCGATATAATATTAAAGTTTGCTTCTAAAAGTATCATTTTAAAAATTAAACTTAATTATTCTCCTTAAACTTAATTATTCCGCTAAAATTTTTGATTAAAAAACTTATCCAATTTCTAAATCGATAATAGAAGAATAACACTATCTGAAAATTTTTTTAACGAGTCACTAGGTCGTCACATTTTTCTTGCAAAAATTAACATAATATAACAGATATAATGACAATAACAGAATATAGACATATGATAATAAAATCTCAGAATATTATTGAGAATCTTTGAAAGACATCATTGACATTCCTCTCCCTCTCTTCACCAATATTTTATTTTCAATCATTTATAATTAGATTAAAATCACGTTGAAAAATTCATTTATCTATGGAATTCAAGAATTCCCTAATGTATTCCCTTCTCTAACTTGCCCTTTCAACCAACCAAACTCAACTTACTCTTGTGCTTCGAACTGCTCTTCCACAAACCCCTGAAGAACGACATTCTGGCCCAGCGCAGCACAAGCAATTCCAGCAGCTCCGAAATCTTTCCCCTTGTCACGATCTGCCTCGCCAGCTTTTTCTCGTTCGAGAGTTCGCCTCTCACTCACAAATCTTGATGCCAGTTTCGCGCCCGTCCAGGACATATAAATCCGAAATCAAACGATTTAATCGTTCTCATGAATGATCAGCCTTCATCGATGCCGCGTAACTCTGGCTCTTTTTAGAAAGCTATGAAATAAATATCGAGAAGAAACGATGGGCAACAGCTGTTCGTTCGGCACAAAATCTCCCCGGGAGCACCCACGAGAACGTGTTGCCGCGGTGGCAGCGCGCCGCGATATGAACCGTCCAGAACGGTTTATAGCGCCGCTTCGCCCTCGCGAGCGAACATGCGCATCCCAGGCCGTCCTTGTCCCGTCCCTCCCCCCTCTCCTCTCTCTCTCTCTCTCTCTCTCTCTCTCTCTCTCTCTCTCTCTCTCATCAGCAGCCCGGATTCCGGTTCCGCTTCCGAACCGGATCCTATACTAAAAATATAAAAATTATTGTTCCGCGCGAACTCATGACATCGACATTTTGGACCAATTTTGGAGTAAAAATGGAAAAATTGTGGATCCATGAATTTCGCATCAGAAGAGAAATTTTGGACTAAAGAGAAGACTCAAAAAAGCTTTAAACGCTAAAATCAAGATTTCGAAGTAATAAAAATAAAAATAAAAATTTTTAAGAGTATAAGCATAAATTTCATTTATCGAGATAAAATTTATCGATTGTGTGCAATAAAAATAAGAATGAAAAAAAATTCTCGATAGTTCACTAAAACTTCGCGGAAAAAAATACAGGGGAGAAAAACATCAAGAATAATATTTGTTTTTTTTTTATTCGAGAAACTATAAGTTCGTATATACCATTCAAATCGCAAAAAAAAAACGAAAAAAAAATTCTAATGTGATGTGAAACACAAATGAATAGAAATTGTGACAAAGTTGGTGTATTAAAAATTTTGCGACAATATTAAATTTCAGACGATATTAAATTTCAGACAATATTAAACATAAAGGACAAACTTAATATCGGATTAAACATCGTTGAAGTGACTGTCGTCGGATGGGCTTGCGGAGCAATTTGGTATTCATCTCCGCCAACGACATAGTTGCCAAGAAATTGATGCGTTGCTCGGGCACGCTCCAGAAGCACGGAACGAGAGTCTCACCACCTAATTTCATGGGAGATGCCCGCCCTAAACTTATAGAAACTAAACTTCGTTCGATAATCTCGTGGCAAATAACGACCCCGCCCAGTCAATTTAATTTTGCTTCCGTTTTTGCATTTCCACAGGCACATTAAAATGTGTTATCATTCCTTTTTCCTCGGGAAAATACATACCTATTTCTGCACAACACAAAAGTAATTGACATCATATAATAACATATAATATCATATAATATGTGATCTAAATTACAAAAAATATTTTAAAATATAAGATTGTAACAGTGTGCGAGTTCAAGAAAATTTAAAACTGTAATAAAAAGTCAATATTAATTTCTTCCAACTCATAAAGTATAAAATGCGGAGTCAGTTGATATCGGGTTTTCCTGTCGATTTTGCCCCGAATGCGATTAAGCTTGAATAATGTTGGAATTGTCAGGAAAACGAAATTAATCAGGGAAACTGATTTGGTGAATTTCTCCGTAATCGAAAACCTTAAGTTAACCCAAAGTTATGGAGTATAGGCGTTCGAATCGGAACATCGAGTCCGAAATTCCCGGCCAAACCCGAAAATTTATCAGGTTTTCGGGTAGAAAATACGAGTATCAGAGATCTATTCGATTATCGAGGGTCGTTATGCGTTCGTTAGCACGCGATTGACTTTAGACGACGGCGGCTCGAATCGATTTCACGTGCGCTCGACGAAATTGCCAATCAATCGAGGAGAATTGAGAAAAACAACTGTCCTCCGACTTAGTAAATTATCTATCGGTCGCATCGGATTACGAATTGAACTTAACGCATCAGTGAAAATTGATCACCATGAGATAATCGTACACTGGATAAAACTACAATTCATTTAAAAATGAAGAAAAAGAATACAGAACGAATAAAAGATTCATCTATCGCCGTGAGACCAGCGTGACTGATTGTGAGGATCAAATGGTGGAAATGAAAAATATCAAAAAAAATATTAAACTGATATAATGGTAATTAATATTCTCAATAAATAGTATTTTTAGAGGAAAGAAATTTAAAAATTAAAAAATAAAGATTGTGTTACATAAATATAAAAATAAAATATATGAAAATTGTGTTATTAAATAGGAAAAAAATATTATTAATTTTTGTACTAATAGAAAATTTCATTTAAATAAAAATACGTTATTAAATAAAATATACATATTCACTCAGAAAGCTAATATGTTACTGTACATCTTAAAAAAGAAAGTAGTTTTTTGGACATCCCCTTGAAAAATTATCTACTAAATCGATTGAAATACAGACCGTTGGTATAAAAATTCGCGACGCAAAAGAAATTTCGGATCAGGAATGAGCTGCTGTGGCGAGACCTGTGAAAGATGATTGACGAGAGAAACTGGCACGAACGTTCTTAGAGAGACAGGCTTAGTTGAGTTGCGAGTTTTTGTACGTTCGGACACGTCGCAAAATTGTGCTCGATCTTACACGTATTTCTTTTCTCTTCCACATCATGATTCGATCGATCCTCTTTCGCCGTCGCCGTAGAATAAATTAGCAATTGAAAAAAAGTATCTATAATTTTCGATTGCTCGAGTGTTCAAATTTCGATGCAACTTGATCTCTGAAATTGATCTCTGTAGTTAATTACAAGTGAAAAAACTTGCGACAGGTCATACTGAACATAAGTCAGCATGACATTAAAGTGATGTCAAAATGCACAAAAATAATTATTAAAAATCATTTTTCAATCATTTACTCCTTATTTTAACGTTATAGTGACTTATTATTCTACTTGAATAACTTTCTCGATACTTTTGCTGAGAAATTCAATTTAAATTAATAAAAGAAAGTCCATGTACAAATACTTTACTACTTCATTTAAAATATCCTGTATATAGTAGCAAAAAATAATTTCACTGAAACAGTTAAAATGCAAAAAGGATGCGTAATTTATTCACTTGTTTTTTTATCCACTACAAAAAATATCGAAATGCAGAAATCGCTGAGCTGATTCTGAAATCGAGCGATGGCGAATATTTTTCATTAAAATGCGACGTATGGTGTTTTCAGGATAACGGACGATCTACAAAGACTTTCGCAAAAAAGCTGACATCGAACGTCACAGCTGCTGTCTTCACACCTTCCACATTTCTTCTTCGTCATTCCATCCATCGATCGGTACTCCATCCTTTCGCTCTTTTCCCGATGCAGCTGGGATCGACAGGAATTCTGTGTTTGACAATACTCGTCGAGCTTGTTTGGCGGAATCGAATGACGTTTCTCGTGACATGTCGTAAATTCGTATGGCGAGATATACGTAATTAAACGGTTTCCTAACTGAACTTTATACATGAGTTTTGATATTTTTATTCTGGAGAAACATAAAGAATAAAACATAGAATTTTACTATAAGAAAATATTTCAATACTTCAATATATTTTCTTGGCAATCTAAAAAAATATACTATTTTATATAATACCTTAGTTCCGTTAATTAGTTCCATTAAAATTAGTTCCATTAAAATTCTAAAGTAATTTTATCATTCTCCCTTTAACGATAATAAATGGTTTAATAAATTTAATCATGTTGATAGAGAATTAATTAAATGTATAATTGAAAAAAAATCAGCACACTCGCAACTATTCAACAAAATCATTTAATTAAAGCTGCAAAAACAATATTAAATCAAATTATATAAAATTTCAAAATTATAAAATACTTGCTTGCATAAATTTAATATTATTTTATTAATATGCCGTCAAAGTAAATTCTTTCAATTTATAGATAATATATGTAAATATATTTATTTTTGTACATATTTATAGTCATTTATCATGTTGTACATTTCAAATCTCCTAAAATATTAGAAAAAGATTAAACATTTGTACCTTTTTTATTCTTTTATTTATTTTTATTTTTCTATTTTCCTTTTTCAATTAATTCGTATGAAAATAGCACTAAATCGTATAATATTTATTCCGCGTTACATGTTATGCAATGTCACATTCATTCTAGAATAATCATAGATAATTATTAATCGCAGTATCTTTTCTCTAGCCATTATTCCATTACTCTGTCACGACATATCTGACATCGTTGACATCGAGTCAAGCTCAAGTTCGACACGCTCGACAAGCACACGTGTGATACACGCGTGCGTACAATGTACACGTACCAGGTTCGATACGGTCGTTGCGTACGGTCATCGGCTGTACGCAATACGAATTCCATTAAATCTCGATTATACGGTATTATACGTGACTTGGGTTTGCTTTGTAATTCCGAATCTCTTCTTATGCAAAATACGAACAAAGCATTGTTCTGTAATTCCACGCACAAACAGTGATCAGAAAACGCATTAACCAGCGCAAATGGGATATATACATTGAGAAAAAATGAATTAAAATCAAACATTTGTTTTAATGACTAATTTAACCTATAGTAAATAAATATTTTCTGCCTGCTGCTAATTCAAAGCCATAATGAATTAAAATCGTTATATATATATATATATATATATATATATTAGGTGTACAACTTTGCTTCCGCCGTTTTCCTATAGATGGCTTTAGCGGTAAGTGGTGGGCGAAATAAATAGATCATAGACGTCATACAATAAACTTGGGCATCTGTCAACATAACCCCATAGAAACATTAGTCGATTTGTGTCTGCATCATAAAGTCATTCTCGATTGAAAATGTCAGTTTACAAGCCAACCAAATTCTCGTCATTTGCGGGAGGTTTTAATTTTTTGCTTCAATATGAAGAAATCTGCGGCTGAGGCTCATCGAATGTTCTCAAATACTTCTGGTGAGGCCGCTATTAGTGAAAGAACGTGTCGTGAATGGTTTCAACGCTTCAAGAACGGTGATTTTGACGTCCAAGGTCATGCTCTGTATTTGGTGGGACCAGCTCGACGTAGTGTATTATGAACTGTTAAAATCGACTGAAACAATCACAGGCGATCGGTATCGAACGCAATTGATGCGTTTGAGCCGAGCATTGAAAGACAAACGGCCGCAATACAACGAGAGACACGATTAAGTGATTTTGCAGCATGACAATGCTCGCCCCCATGTTGCGAAAGTGGTCAAGACATACTTGGAAACGTTGAAATGGGAAGTCGTACCCCACC